ACATTATTTGTAAAGGACGACTTTGATCCATACCTGGAAGTGGCTTTTGTTCCACCCGTCCTTGGTCAACGCGTTCCTCAGCTCCTTATAACTCCACACTGTCTGCAGCACATGGGAAGCTGCCTTCGTTTCACGTGCTGATTGGCTGAAGAGGGCCCCCCCCCCATCCAAAAAGGAGGAAATTAGTAGAAGAAGTAACTAGATCAATTAACGTCAGTAACCTCACCTAATCACAAAACGGTAACAGCTGGGCGTGCTGGCGAGGCACCGCTGCAATCAATCTCTTCATTCAAAGACTTTTGAGTTCCCCGGGCAGTTTCAGGGTCTAGTTTTTAATTCACAGCCAGATGAATACACATCGCCTTTCATTAGCTACCTCTGAGCCACCAGTATTAATTATATGTGGGTGCGAAGGAGGGGGCTCACTTCAAAGAAAGCTAATCTCATGAGGCTGAGAGGAAACACTAGCTGTTTGGTTTGTGGATAAACGATGTATATTCGTGCTTGTTAGAGTGACTCTGGATGATCAATACATCGCCGCACAAGGACGGGCCTTTGAAAAGTGCATTTAAAATGTGGCGCGGCTCTAACACGCCTTTATTTGCAGTGAGTAACAATGTGGTTATATGAGACACCTCTTGAAAATATCAGCCTGAATATCTTAATTTTCGCTACTAGTTGCTGAGACGCCCACTGTAAGAGCGGCCTGTTTATTAATGTGAGGTGGGCAGTGGTGTCTGTAGCCAAGCTCGCGCCGTCACATGACGCGTTACATTATTCATCCTCCATGAATACTAATATGAAGGCTCATGATGAAATTGCATACAAGGTCATACTATAATTATGTCTCAGTAGTAAGGCCACACCTCATGCAGAGCTTATATGGATGAGAGCATGCTGCTTCAGTTTGATGCAGTCATAGAGCAACGTCAATGCAATATTTGTCCGACTGTACTTAAAAAAATCTTACCTGGTCCTATTAATGGCGACCAGTTTCTCGATGGCCTGGGCCTGGATGAGGGAGCGTGCGTTTTCAGAGCTGTCGGTGACGATCTCGTGAATGGTATTGAGGATGGCCACCACAGTGTCCTCCTCCAGGTTCTTGGCTGGTCGCTGCTGACCGCTGGGCAGGTTGCTCACCAAGTCCCGCATGGCGTAACTTCCTATACGGTGAATTAGTGTTTAAGGTTAACCAGGTGACAGTGACAGGGAGAAACACAAAGCACTCTGAGAGCACAAACCTCCAGCAGCTCCCTTCCTGGGCAGTATTTCCTTTTCAGGAAGTTTCTAAATTTTAAGGCTTTGTGTCAAATTTCCCAAAATAAATCATTAAGCTGACCTCGGAGACTTTGGAGGATGTAAAGCTAATTTTAATGGATTAATATGACCCCACTCTACAGTGTTACAAAGTTTTATCAGAATTCATTAAAAAAGTTTGTGAGCTGTTGTGCTTATAGTCAGATGGATGACACGCATGCAAAAACACAACCTCCTTGGCTGAGGTGATTAACATCTTCAAAATGAGTAATAAATTAGGTTACATCTCAGCAAGTCAGGTACTACTGAGTCTTGTGAGTCTTGTAAAATTGCATGAATAGAACAGTTTGTCCAAAAGCTTGCATTTAATAACATTTGTGTTATT